ATAAATAAAGATTTAAATCTTTAAACATCAGTTGTCACCTCGGTGTGTGGTGACGTCTCCTGATTCATCGACTTTGAGTCTTAATCACAGACAGACAATGAATCTGTGTGATCATGTGACCCCTGTGGTTTGTGTCATCCGCTGACTGTCTCCTCGCGTCCTGCAGGGGGCGCTGCAGGGATGGTGTCCAGGATCACGGGCTCTGTGGGTAAAGGTCTGGCCGCCATCACGATGGACAAAGAGTATCAACAGAAACGACGAGAGGAGATGAACCGACCGCCCAAAGACTTCGGAGAGAGTTTGGCTAAAGGAGGAAAAGGACTGTTGAAGGTAACGAGTTTGTTCAGGTGTGATGTCATCGTCAGTCAGCAGCTCATTGGCCGATGAAACACAGTAACCAATGATCTCTCTGCAGGGAGTCATGGGTGGAGTCACAGGCATCGTCACCAAACCTGTGGAAGGTAAAAGTTTCTCTGATCCTTTGACTGAAGTTCATGAAACTAACCAAGTTTTAAAAACAAGCTTTGTAGAAAATCAGTTTCCTGTCGTCACAATCACAAGATCTCAGTCTGAACTCTGACCTCCTGTGGTGTCATGTGACCGTTCAGGGGCGAAGAAGGAGGGCGCGGCCGGCTTCTTTAAAGGAATCGGTAAAGGTCTGGTGGGCGTGGTCGCTCGGCCGACAGGCGGCATTGTGGACATGGCGAGCAGCACCTTCCAGGGCATCCAGAGGTACGACAGCTGTTCACTTTGTGTGGCTTTGTTTGTCTATGAACCTGGTGTGTTGTTCGTGTGCGTCATAACGTTTGTTCTCTCTGTTCTTCTGTTCACTAATTTCACATTTTCTGTTTTTGTTTTCTGTCTCTTGTCGCTTGTCTCCGGAGTTTTCTCATTTTCTTCTTGTGGTGTTTGTTTTGAGTATTTTACATGAAACGTGTTAAAGCTCAGCTCCTTCACTTCCTGTTTGTCTTACGTTGTGAACATTTAAACTGAAAATAAAAGTATTCTTCTACGGTTGGGATCGGGTATCTGAATATAATCGTTGACTCTGATTGGCGGGTGATGCGGTGAGTTGAAGGAGACGAGCTTTAACCATCTCTAAATGTTTGCATGTTGTTGTGCAGCGGACAGATGGTGAGTTTGTGCATCGTGCCGCAAATAAACTTCATCCATCGTTTCCTGGCTCATGTCACTTCCCCCTCTAACGATGCCTCAAGCCCCGCCCCCTGTAAGCCCCGCCCCAGCCTGTTGCAGCATTATGAGTCAGGAGGCCACGCCTCTGAGGAGAGTCGCCGTCCCGCTTCACTTCCTGAGACATGTTTTCCACAAACGACCAATCAGCTGCTGTTTCAGTGACACATTTTCACAATCATGAGTCATCACCTGATGAGCTTACCCAGAATCCCCTCTGCATCGCCTGTCCTCTCCTCAGGGATCGTCTGATTGGCTGATTGAATGATCACGTGGTTCTGCTGAGTTTGGTTGAAACTGAAGATCTGGAGAAACACAAACGTTTGTTTGTTTGTTTATTGAAAGTGCTTGGCTACTAAATTCTACTAAACACCATGACAACATGAAAGAACCTGTAAATATTTACAAATATTACTTTATATTTGAAAATAAAT